TGGCATGAATGTGGTGGAAAAAAAAAGAATGCTTAAACACTGCAGGTAGGAACATAAGTTAGTACGACATCTATGGAAAGCATTATGGAGATTTTTCAGAGAACGAAAAGCACATCTCCCATTCAATCCAGCAGTCTCACGACTGGGTATCTATCCAAAAGAAAAGAAGTCTTTATATGAAAAAACACCTGCACACATATGTTTAGTGCAGCCCAGTTCATAATTGCAAAGACATGAAGCCAACCTAACTGTCCATCAACAAATGAGTGGATAAAGAAAAGGTGGTATATATACACCATGGAATACAACTCAGCCATAAAAAAGAACAAAATAACGTCTTTTGCAGCAAGTTGGATGGAGCTGGAGGCCATTATTCTAAGTGAAATAACTCAGAAATGGGAGACCAAACACATATATTCTCACTTATAGGGAGCTAAGCTGTGGGTATGCAAAGGCATACAGAGTGGTAAAATGGACATTGTAGACTCCGAAGTGGGGAGAGGAGGAGGAGGGCAAGGGATAAAAACCTGCAGATTGGGTACAGTGTGTACCACTTGGGTGATAAGTGCACTAAATCTCAGAATTCACCACTGTACAATTCATCCATATAAACAAAAACTACTTGTATCCCAGAAGCTATTGAAATTTTTAAAAAAGAGGTGAAAGACTCTAAGATATAGATAAAAATTGACCACTGAAACAGCTACAGAAGGTTTATAAGGGGTGGAAACTCTTGCATTTTAACAGTTCTGATTATATAATTTGTGGCATTCACTTACCATTTCATTCATTTTGCAAAATTTCCTGAGAATTTACTTTGGGTCAGGCATTTTACTGGGGCTGGAATGAAGCTTGTATATTGTTTTCATGGATAGGTGATATGGTGGTGTTGGTGATGGTGGTGGTGGTGATATGGCAGTGGTGATACGACAGAGGCAGAGGTGATAGCGAAGGTGAGAGAATGGACAACTTGGATGTGTGTGTCTATAGTAGTGGTGGCAGAGGGTGGGGTAGTGATGGGAACAGTGGTGTTGCTGCTGTTGGCAGTGACTGTGCTGGGCCATTGTTGGTTATGGTGGTAATGGAGCAGCAGTGGTGTGGTGGCAGTGGGGGGAACATGAGTGATGGTGACATACATGCTGAGGATGACATGTGAATTGGACTTGGCTACATTTCTGTTGTTTTATCTGACCCCTTACTCTCTGAGAAGATTTCCTAAACACTTTATCTGACTAACTCAGTCTTTAAATCGTGTCTTCAATGCTTAACGTATACCAGAAATTTTCAACCCTATCATCCCACAATAGCACTGTGAGGAAGACAGAATTGTCCTCATTTTACAGATGAGGAAACTGAGGCACAGAAGGAACAGAAGAATTCCTAAGATCTCATAGTGAATGACAGAGACAACATAGCATCAGATTTCCCTGATTCTGGGTCCAGAATCACTTGTCTCCTCCAGGTGCTTTTTGATTCGCAGATCTCAGGAAGTCACTGAGGAAAATAGAAGAGGATGTCTCCATTACCTGGCACCTGACCAAGGAAGGAAGGAGCAGGATGCACAGTATTCATGTGCCAAAAGGTGCCTTTAATGAAATGACCTCAGGGCCCCTCACAGTTCCCTGGACCCTCCAAGCCCATCCCCCAGGCACCAAGGCCCAATTTAGCCTTGGGACAAGCTGGCTCAGCATAGGTACAGGGACAAGCTAAGTTTTATCAGGGAAAAGAAGTCTACGCAGAGGAAAGAGCAGAGACTCACAGTACACAGTCCTGGTTTCAAATTCCACCCCTTCTACTTCTTAGCTGTGGCCTCTAGGCAAGTTCTTGACCCCTTGGGAAATAGGAGTGGTGTGAGAATTAAAGGTGATAACAAATGCAGAACACCTGGCTTATGGATTCTTCAGTGGTCACAGAAACCAGAGGCAGTGAGGCAAATCCTCAAAGCAGAGACTCAGCTCAGATGCTGCTACTCATGGGAAATTGGTGTGGGCGAAGCGAGTGGGTGTGGGCTGCTAATAAAGACATACCTGAGAGACTGGGCAATTTACAAAAGAAAGAGGTTTTATTGGACTTACAGTTCCACATGCCTGGAAGAGGCCTCACAATCATGGCAGAAGGCGAGGAGGAGCAAATCACATCTTACATGGATGGCAGCAGGCAAAGAGAGAGCCTGTGCAGAGAACCTCCCATTTTTAAAACCATCAGATCTCTTGAGACCCATTAATTATCATGAGAACAGCATGGGAAAGACCCGCCCCCATGATTCATCATCTCCCACCAGGTCCCTCCCACAACATGTGGGACTTAAGGGAACTATGAGATTTGGGTGGGGACATAGAGCCAAACCATATCAGCAGGGCCTGGAACTTCCCTGGTTTCTGGTCTCTGAGTTCTCCGAGTTTAATGTCTTATCTAAATCAAGCTTCAAACCATTCATTCTTGACTCACTGTGGCAGAAAAGCAGTTGGCTTCATGACAGTGGATACTGTTGGTTGCTGCAAAACCACTGTGTTTTGGGAATCCTTGATATGTAAAAGTCTCTCATAGTCCAGGCCAAATACATGAACTGATTGGTTTGCCCCTGGGAGTGCCTGTGGAGCTCTACCTGGCCCCCTACCATAGGAAGATGCTTTCCCTCTGAGTCAGGATGAGAGGTCCCATCTCCCAGGAGCAGCCAGAAAAAAAGCCTTAACTTCTTTTAAAAGCCTCATTAATAGCTGTGGCCAGAAAGGGTCTCAGGAGAACCAAGGACCAATGTCAGGCAGCATGGAATGAGGTCTGGATTTACAGCCCAGCTCTGCCATTTCCTAGTGGTGTGACCTTGGTATGTCACTTCCCTCTAAATTTCAGATTCATCATCCAAAATATGGCAATGATAATGCCCAATTCCTGGGGTGGGTTCAAAGATAAATGAGACAATAAAACACAAAAGCTTTTAGGTCCTTTAGCAAGTAATTTAAATTCCTTTCAATTATTTTGTGGTACATATCAGAAATTGATCTAGTAATCTTTTTATTGGTTTTGCATCAATATTCTTCTTAGCTATTATTCCACCAGTTCTTTGTATAGTGTGAAAATACAAATAATTGGCACCAAAATGATGCTCAGCTGGCTCAATAAATATGGGTTTTGAGATAATTCTGTGCTTCACACTGGCCTTAGGTACTAGGAATAATTTTCAAATTTTAATGTACATAAGAATTTTCTAGACACAATGTAGATTCCAAGGCCATACCTGCTTGTGATTCAAGTTCAGCAGGTCTGGGATAATGTCCAAATATCTTCATTTTTTATATTATTGTGGTTATGATACTTAACATGAGATCTACCCTCTTGAAGTTTTAAATGTGCAGTACATTTTTGTTGACTATAGGTAGATAAAGAAAATATACTATATACTGGCCAGACACAGTGGCTCATGCCTGTAATCCCAGCACTTTGGGAGGCTGAGGCGGGTGGATCACTTGAACCCAGGAGTTCAAGACCAGCCTGGGCAACATGGTGAAACCTCCTCTCGACTAAAAAACTCAAAAATTATCCAGGCATGGTGGCCCGTGCCTGTAATCCCAGTTACTTGGAGGCTAAGGCAAGAGAATCCCTTGAATCCAGGAGGTGGAGGTTGCAGTCAACCTAGATCACGGCACTGCACTCCAGCCTGGGTGACAGAGCAAAACTCAATCTCAAAAAGAAAAAAAATATTCCACAACATGGATGAATCTTGAAAATAGTATGCTAAGTGAAATAATCCAGTCACAGAAGGACAAATATTGCATGATTCCCCTTATGTGAGGTAACTTAAATAGTCAAATTCGTAGAATAAAAGAGTAAATGGTGGTTGCCAGGGGGTGGGGGAGGGGAACGGGGAGTTGTTAATGGCATAAAGTTTTAATCAAGCGAGAAAAAAATCTGTTTTTAAAGAATACCTTTGGCTCAATGTTTTTCAACAGTTTCTCCAAAATAATTTTTAAAAGATTACGTTGTGACCTAGTGTACACAACTAAAACACAAGTTTCATAAAACAGTGACTACCTAATAGTTTCCCTTACTACCTGCAAGTGACGCAGGTGTGCCTATTCCGTGCTCTTGCGTTTTAATCTGATTCACTTTTTCTTCAGTGCTAGTTGTGACTCACTATGCTAATTTTGTGACCAAAACTACAGTTTAAAAAACACTGATTCTGGGGCCAGGAGTCTGAGACCTGCTTTGAAAAACAATGAATTTTTTGGATTTTAAAACTTTTTTTTTTTTTTTTTTGAGAGGGAGTTTCGCTCTTGTTACCCAGGCTGGAAGTGCAATGGTGCGATCACGGCTCACTGCAACCTCTGCCTCCTGGGTTCAGGCGATTCTCCTGCCTCAGCCTCCCAAGTAGCTGGGATTACAGGCATGTGCCACCGTGCCCAGCTAATTTTTTGTATTTTTAGTAGAGACGGGGTTTCACCATGTTGACCAGGATGGTCTCGATATCTTGACCTTGTGATCCACCCGCCTCGGCCTCCCAAAGTGCTGGGATTACAGGCTTGAGCCACCGCGCCCGGCCAAAACATTTTTTAAAATAACTCACAGACCCTGCCTTCAAGGGCCTCCAGGGCTTCTTCCCCACCTTGAGGTGGAGGCTCACAGGAACCACGTGTGGGGAGGGTCTGTCTTGGCTGGCAAGGGAGCTCTGCCTTAACAAAGTACCACAGACTGAGTAGCTTACACAACAGACGTTATTTTCTCACAGTGCTGGAGGCTAGAAGTTCAAGACTAAGGCGTCGGCAGTGTTGGTTCCTTCTGGGGACCATACAGGAGGAATCTGATCCAGGTCTCTCTCCTTGGTTTGTAGACAGCATCTTCTCTGTCTCTTCACATCATCTTGCCTCTGTACATGTTGTGTCCAAACTCCCTCTTCTCGTAAGGACACCAATCTATGTCCACACTTGCTCTTCTCTTAAGGACACTAGTCGGACTGAACTAGGGACCCCTGTAATGACCTCATTTATCTTCATTTCCCCCTACAGGCCCTCAAATACAGCCACATTCTGGGACCACAAATTATGAACATATGAATTTTTGACACTGGAGACTGTGAAAGCAAATCAGCCCAGGGTCTAATTGGTGTCAGGCTCCGTACATGAACACGATGGTGGAGGTAATTACCTACAGTTCTGGGAGCACCCAGAGAACAAAGTAATTAATTCATTAGGCCAGAGGGTTATTAGAGAGACTCCACAGAGAAGGTAACATGGGAAAAGGGCTTTAAATGAAAAGGTTTCATCAGGTAGAGAAGATTTTAAAATAGAAATTCTAAGTAGATAAATCTGTGCCTGCTAGAGCTTAAAAGTGTGAAAGAATGAGCCACATTGAAGACAACTAGGGGAAATAAGAGGGAAGAGCAGGGAGATGGTTGGAAATGAAGGTGGAGGGACCACTGGAGACCAAATTATAAGAGGTCTCCATCGTCAGTCAAAGATCTTAGTAGCCTTGATCCTTTGAGGTGGTTTCATGAACACCGTTTTTCAGAAAATCATTGAGGCCTAGAGTATTAGATCTGGAGGGAGGACAGAGAACCACCAGCTACAACTTCAGTTACAGATGAAAAAAATTATGGCTTAGAAAATACAAGTGAGTTAGTGGGGCAGAACCTCACCAGCACCTGAGATCATTCCTGTGTGCTCTCTACAACATCACACGTGGTCCCTGGGTCTGTGAAAGTACAAAGATTTATACACCCTGGAGATGAAAATGGGAGAGAAAAATCCCTTTTCCATCATCCTTCCAATCACAATAACATTATACTGGGTCATAAGTGAGGCCAGAAAAAACAGTTACCTTCAGTGATTTATGATCCAAGAACGGAGACCACCTACCATGCTCGGGCCTGAAGCAGATTCCACTAGGTTTTGAAAATAACACTCTGAGTGCAGCCGGCCTGCCAGCCATATGCCTGCCTGGGCCCCTGCCTCCCTATCAGGACCTGGGAGCCTCAACAGCGCTGTATTGGCTGGATCTTACTGCTAATGAGGAAAAAGAGGTGCATACTGATTGGGGAGCAGGGCATGATTTGTTTTTATCTCTGTCTCTGGAAGGAAATTAGTCCCAGATCATCATGCTAGGATAAAGGGCAGGTAGCTGAGCTCTTTCCTGGGAAACTAAGGGCAGCTACTGACCCTGGAGAGGATTATATAAATAGGTAGGCTGGGGAACAAACCAAGACCATCCCTTATGTGGGAACTTAGCTTACAGATGGTGTTAATCCAGTGAGTCTGGGTCTTCCAGAGTCATACTCAGAACTTTAGAGGATATCTTGGCCATTCCTTTTTTTAGGCTGCAGTGAATCTGAGGCAAAGGAGAAAGCAGCTTGCCTAAAGTCATAGAAAGTTGGCAGTCATAGCCAAATTGCTTGGCTCTCAAGCTCAGTGCTTTTCCATGGTAGCCTGTCAACTCCTTTGAACAAGAATGAGTATCAAGGTTTGGGAACCCATCACCTTGTTACTTGAAGGGCAACGCAAGGTCCCATCTCCCCTGTATACTATCCACCCCTAACCTCCAACTGAGGCATCCTCTCTTTTGCCTGGGATGCAGATTTTAGATAAATTTCAGGTTTGGACAATGGGTAAATGCTGATACTGGGTTTCCTCAATATGAATAAGTTGGCTAAATTAACATGTCGGAGCCTTGGACCGTGGGAAGCCCAGTGAGTTGGAGGCTGCAGAACCAGTGAGGACTGGAGGACATAGAATGGTGGTGGCAAGTGACAGCAGAGGACTTCACGTTAGGTAAGGCTGGGGATGGTTCTTCAGGGTGGACTTAGGGAAGTGAAAAGACTGGAAAGTGGGAGAAGAGCTGGTGCAGGTGGCAGAGTCAGCCTTCAAAGGTGCTGAAGTCAGTCCCTACCTGAAGAACTTGGGGAGGACACTAGGCGAGCATGGATCTGGGAATCATGAGAGGCAGCTAGGTGGGTGGGGCAGAGGGGCCTTAGATGCTAAGCACTCAACCTCATCGTGCCTCCATTTACTCAACTATCAAAGTAGAATTCTAACAATTCCTCTGTCTTCCACCAGGCAGTAGTGGGCAGGAAGCTGGGTATCATGAGCCACAGAATCTACTTTCCCCCAGATTTGATTCCCTAGGCTAAAAGGAAACATTGCACAGGAGCGGCAGGGCAGGAAGCATGCTTTATGAAGATTTACCCGGCAGCAGGTACGAAGTTGGCAGAAGAGACAGGAGGATGACGCTGAGAAGGGAAGGGCTCGAGGCATAAAACAGTTAACAAACTGTTGAAGCTGTCTTGGGGAGAGGTAATTAATTCCACTCAGCTGTTAGTTGGTGTTCTGACTGTACACATTTAGAATGATGGGCTTTGACAGGCCCAATGCTGTTTTGCAGTATAGATGGTAAAATAGTCATTTCATAGAAAAATCAATACGGAATCTTTTTGCCTAATTGATCCCTAAGCTCTCAACTTCTGCCTCCACTCCCAGCACTGCTCCCTTAAATCACACCCCTTCCCCGTCCTCTTCTCACCCTCTGCTTCACTGTGCACCATCTCCCTCTTAGGGCAAACAGCATGAACATGTAGTTGTTATTAGTTGACTTTGTGTGGCTGAAGGCCAGTGAACAATTGCATCCTTCTCATCTCACCTGTCTCCCATCACACCGACTGGAGACATCAGAACAGGCAGCCATCTCCAGAATACATCAGCCCCTCCAGGACCTGCTCAGGTTGGCAGATTCCTGCTTGGGAACCAAGAGCTATGGGCAGAAGGGCTAGCTGTCAGCAGCAGGAAACTTCCCACGTCAGAGGGCTCCCGCCATCCCGACCCCATGTCTTCTGAGCTGGAGATCCCTCGCTGCCCATCCACATGGCACCCTGAGGCTCTAGCTCCCACCACTGCCCCAAATCCTCACACTCGGGGCTCGGGGCCAGGTGCACAGGCCTCAGAGCTGGCAGAAAGGGAGCTGCCTGCAGCCAGGAAGGTATTTTCTTTACCAGCCCACCCAAATGTTGTTTGGCTGGCATTGCCTCTGAGCTTTTCAGAAATGAAAAAGAGGGATAGGGAAGTGGGAGCCCTGGTGGGCTCTGGAACCCTTTCTGTTTTCTCAAGGGCATCGCAGTAGGTCCAAAATGTCTCTGGGTTTGAAAGTGAAATGCCGGCACAGAGCAGATTCCTGATGAATGTGGCCCAGATGTTTCTAAGTGATTTATTTTTGTTAATGGAAAATGGCTGAGCTAATAACTCTCAGAAACATTTCTGTAGGGAGAGTTGAAGCCTGTTTTGCCTCTGTGCTTCTTGTTTTTGCTTGTGGTTTACTTTTAGGGAAGAAATTGGATGTAGGAAAAAGTCCAAATAACAACTTTGTCTATGCGACAGCTGATGCCAAAATCCCAGGCATAGCTTTTGTGACCTGATTTCTACCAATTATTGACCATTCACTGAGGCCCAAGTTCTTCTCGTCAATTACCTCATTTAATCCTTATGGCAAAGAGGAGACCAAGGCTCAGAGCGATGACATGTCCTACCCAGCCAGAGCCACACAGTCTATGACAGCATGACTGAGAATTGAACCTCAAGTTTTGACTCCAGATCAAAACCACCATACTCTATAGGGAAATAGCAAAGAAAATACAAGGGTTAAAAGATACCATGAGAGGCTGGGTGCAGTGGATCATGCCTGTAATCCCAGTACCTTGGGAGGCCGAGGTGGGCTGAGTACCTGAGGCCAGGAATTCGAGACCAGCCTGACCAATATGACAAAACCCTGTCTCTACTTAAAAAACAAAAAAAATTAGCCAGGCATGGTGGTGCATGCCTGTAATCCCATCTACTCAGGAGGCTAAGGCAAGGGCAGGAGAATCGCTTAAACCCAGGAGGTGGAGGTTGCAGTGAGCCAAGATCACATTACTGCACTCCAGTCTAGGTGACAGAGAGAGACTCTGTCTCACGAGAGAGAGAGAGAGAGAGAGAGAGAGAGAGAGAGAGAGAGAGAGAGAGAGAGAGAGAGAGAGAGAGAATGTGAGAAGTCTTCTAACTGAGAAGTTAGAACAGAGAAGTCAGTCTTCTAACTGATCCATGGGCTTTTTGTCAACACCCCAATTTTATACCCTAAACTTGGTCAGAGAGTCTGGTGAGTTTCCTTTTCTTTAAGGGAAAGGCACTGCTTTCTGGGCAGCAAGAAAAGGACTATCTTTGAGGTCCCCATGCCCCAACATTTCCTGGGCAGTGAGTGACTGTACTGTCTAATGCTATATTCATAGTAAAGTGAGATGGCTTTGAAGCAGAGAAAACCAGGTCCGACTCTAAGCTTCACCACTAACAAGCTAGGTGACTTTAAACAAGTCAGTTACTAAGGTTCTCTGTATTTAGTTTCCTCACTGCCCGCCAGGAAGCTCTCTCTAGCTCTGTCTCTGTCCCTGTAGCTACAGCCTATGGAAGGACTGTTGTGAAAACAGCTTGAGCACAGCCCTTAGCACAGAGCCAGCTCTCTGTAAATGGTTATTAACTATTCCATAACTATGGAAATGAGTGAGCAAGTGAGTAGTGAATGTGCATCTCCTCCTCTGTTGAGACTAAGAGAGACCCCATGATTGTCAAGTTTAGCCATAAGGAAAGGCATATAACCCTTCTTCTTAGCACATGTGCTGCTGGAAAGTGGCTCCTTTGTGCTTATAGTAATTTGCAAATGACATTACAAGAGCAGGATAATGGGCTGAGAGGAAACAAGCTTGCCATGATCTTCACCTCCTCTTGTTTCCACACATTGGGATCCCAGGACTGTATGTGATTCAGCAGGACTGCCTTATTCATAACTTACTTCCAAGCAAGGTGAGACTTAACCCATCTCTAGTGATCAATTATTGCACATCTGCCATGTGTCAGGCACTGTGATGGCGTAAATAGGTAAGTAGGTAGATAGAATACAATACAGTAGAACAGAATACAATGGAATACAATAGAACAGAATACAATAGAACAGAATAGAATTTTATATATATATATATATATATATATATATATATATATATATAGAGAGAGAGAGAGAGAGAGAGAGAGAGAGAGAGAGAGAGAGAGAGACTGAGATAATCTCAGATCATCTTATCCTTCCATAGAGGCAGGACAGGATAGCGAAAAGAGTAAACTATGGAGTCAGGTAAGATGGTTTGAAATCCTGGCTCAACTCTTTTTTCTCTGTATGATTTTGGGCAAGTTGTTCTTCTCAGAATCTCTATAGAAGGAGGAAATTACATCTACTCATATGCATTGTTTTTAATCAGATAAAATTCCTGCAGCACACAGGACAGTCTCTGGCGCAGAGGAGAGTCATGGGGGAGCTGACTCTCATTTGTATTTACTCTGCAGAGTCGTTGCCATCATAGTGTACAGATGAGAATGTTGAACTCCAAGACAGAAGGGGACTTGTCCAGAATCACAGGGTTAAGGGGCAAACATAAAAACCCGGCTCTCATGCATCCAAATCGATTTCTGTTCAAAGCTGCAATAAATATTCACTGAGCACTTCATTAGACCCCTGTGCAGTGGGAGAGGGGCTGGGCATTTCTAGGAGATCCAGGATCCCAAGAAACTCACATCCCAGTGAGAGAAACATTTACTTGGCAAATGTTCATTGTGTTAGTCCGTTCTCACGTTGCTGTAAGGATGTACCCAAGACTGGGTAATTTATAAAGAAAAAGAGGCTTGATGAAATCACAGTTCCAGGTGGCTAGGGGGATTTCACAATCATGGCAGAAGGTGAAGAAGGAGCAAAGGCACATCTTACATGGCAGCAGGCCACAGAACCTGTGCAGGGCAACTGCCCTTTACAAAATCAACAGATCTCATGAGACTTACTCACTATCACAAGAACAGCTCAGGGGGAAAACCCACTCACATGATTCAATTACCTCCTGCCGGGTCCCTCTCACAATACATAGGGATTATGGGAGCTACAGTTCAAGATGAGATTTGAGTGGGGACATAACCAAACCATATCAGCCATTTCACCCATTCTGTATCTTTGGCAGCATGGAAGATGGTGGAAATGCAAAAGCATACCTTTATACCTGCAGCTGTGTCCCACAGAGCATAGTTTTGAGGACAGAAGTATGTGTATAAAATGAAATATGTTAAGCACTCCCATGGGAGAATCCTACAGCAAAGGGACTCACCAAGGAAGTGGCCCTTGAGTCAGGCTGAGGCATCAGGAATGGAGAGGTTAGGACTTAGTTGGAGCATCACTCGTCAGGGAGGGAACAGAGGTTCCCAGGAGTGGTCTGGAGAGGAGAGACTGCAGTCCTTGAAGAACTGGAGAAGGTCAGTGCAGCTGGAATTGAGCATAAGAGGGCATAACAAGCTTAGGTAAGGCTGGAGGAGGGCTGGGGCAGGGAAAGCCTTGCAACACATGTTAAGAAACCTGGAGGCTTTAATGAGGCCAGTGTAAAATCTTCAAAGTGGCCGGACGAGGTGGCTCAAGCCTGTAATCCCAGCACTTTGGGAGGCTGAGGCGGGTGGATCACGAGGTCAACAGATCGAGACCATCCTGGTCAACATGGTGAAACCCTGTCTCTACTAAATATACAAAAAAAATTAGCTGGGCATGGTGGCACATGCCTGTAGTCCCAGCTACTCGGGAGGCTGAGGCAGGAGAATTGCTTGAACCCAGGAGGCAGAGGTTGCAGTGAGCCAAGATCGCGCCATTGCACTCCAGCCTGGGTAATAAGAGCGAAACTCCATCTCAAAAAAAAAAAAACTTCAAAGTATTGTAAACAAAGGAGCAATAGAATTTACACATTAGAAAGATTACTCTTGTTACAGTTTGGAGAAAGGACTGGGGATGAGGGAGACACAGAAATAAACAATTACCATTAAGGCAGGGGATTAACAATTACCAGGATGCAAGGGAATATTCAAAATATTGAACAATCAATATCGAATGGACATCAACCAAACAGAATGTAAGGCTACTGGAGAAAGTCCTGAAGGCCTCCTTCTGCACCCAGCATCACCCCTACCAGTGCCGGCAAAGGGACCATGTGGCAGGGAAGGGGCATTCATGGGAGGGGCATTGATGGTGAGGGCAGTGGCTCTTCCCCAGATAGCATGAACTTATTTCAATATTTTAGCCACTGATAAGGCCACCTGGATGCATTTGATTGTCACTGTCAGCCAGGGTAAGGGTAAAAGCCAAGTGTTTGGAGAGACTGGAGATGACTCAGCAGGTTCCATGCATCTCACCTGTGAGCCAGGAACCCAGGAAAGGCCTTTCCTGTGCTCACAGTGTGAACACCCTGAATCATAGAACTCCTGGTGAAACGACTCTGACTTTGGAGAAGGATATGTCACATGGAAGTATGAGGACATGGCTGCTTTAAAAGGGATGCAATCTCACTGCAAACTGACTCCTGGTCACAGCTGCAGCAGGAGAGCATGTCCAAAGCCACCTGCTGTGGTTGAGCAGACTTTGTCTTGGATTCATCCCCAACTCCCACTCTTAAGATGCTTGACGCCCTTCCTGTGTCCTGACCAGGTCCTCAGTGAACAATTTTTCTAATTCTTCTAGATTCCTCTGTTTTTACCTTGCCTTCTCTGCAGAAACCACATCTACCCAGCTCCTTTTTAATTCTTATCTGTGTCTTTCAGTTTCTTCCACTGAACCAGCCAGCTGAGTGCACACCCCTCATTCCCTGCTGGTGCCCCAGCTTTTCTGTCAGAGAAGCAGTGCTTCAGAGAGAACTCAGGTTCAAGTGCAGTGTTTGCTGCTTTGCAAACTAAGATGCTTAAATCAGTGGAACCCTTCATTCATTCATTCATTCGTGCAAGTCTTCCTGCCAGCGCAGCGTAAATGCTTGTGGGATTTACCACTATTTCCACAACTTTAATATTCTGCCTGGAATCTACAGTGCACTCAGTAATGAATCATTGAGCATCTACCACTAGGTGCATGGTCTGTGCCAGGACTGCTGAAGATACAAGGATGATGTGGTCCTGCCTTTAATGAACTTTAGTCAATTAATTAATAATTTGATTAATTAGTTCATTCATTGATTCATTCATTCAGTCATTCCATCATCAGGCACTTGACAGAGCTACTGACTGAATGCCCACTTTGTTTCAGGCACTACAGATAAGGAGCAGTCACTAAATTCAAGCAGATTGTGGTTTAAAAGGAGAGGGTAATATGGGAACCATTGCAGGGCAAGAGGTATCTCTAACTGAAAGATTGTGTCACCCATGAAAAATGAAGATGGGAAATAAAACCAAAGTTTCTCAAGCTGCTTTAGCATTAGGTATTGACTTTGGCAAGAGGATGGAGAATGTGTGGTCCTACTTGAATGGTGGGGCCCTAAACCCTATGCAAGAGTTTTCCAAATCCATCTCATTTCAAAGGTTGAAGTCTAATGGGCAAAAGAAAAAAACATGCACTTGGACTGTGAGCCAGACCTCAAGTTCATTCGTGGGACTCATGCTCTGTAAACAGCTTGCTTAGACCCTCGGCAGTTCACAGCCAAAACCTTGCACAGGTTCGTTGCATCTGCTCTCTCCTTTGGCAAGATACAAAACTTAGAACAACAGAAGCTCTTCTAAGTTTTGAACATGACCCTCAACACGGTCATGGCCAGACAGATGCCAATATGAAGCATCAGATCTCAGTAACCATTTAGGAGATTTAAGCTTCTGCATTTGTACTTCATTCAGAAAATATGTATTGAGTCCCTGTGTGTACCAGGTACTGTGTTAAGAGCTGGATGCATGGTAGTGGGGTGCAGTCCCTGCT